CCGTATATGAATGTGTGCACGGATTACACAGAAAACACTGTCAGGATATATACATCGACTGGATGTGAAGACATACCAAGTCAAAACTGCCAGCAAGCCTTGGTGACAGGAAGATGGTATCACATGCAGTGATTAGGAACAGAAGTAGCTCTGAGCGGTTGGCACAGGAGAAAGGATACTAAGAGCACATTTGAATCTGAGTTCACCACAAGACATTCACAAAGATACTAAAGACAGATGATATAGTTTTAGTTTGAACAGAAGGAAACAGCATTGGAATAGGGATATCACGAACGTGAATCATGTGCCTAGAGATTTAAAAAAAAAGTGTTCATGAATGAGGCTACCTGAAGATAAAGGGAAAAAGGAGAGAACATAACACTAGAGAGGGATTCATGATTTAATTTCAAGTCTTCTTTCTTCAGTGTAAGAAGCTGGAGCCAGAGGAAAGCCAGATAAAGGAAGACTGTCACTAAAGATAGAGAGGCAGAAACTATGTGGATGCAGGTTTAAGACTTGTATTAATGGAAAATAGAGAAAACTGATAAAAAGAAAACTGACAGGAATCACAGAAGACAACAGCTTGTAACGTTGAGAAGAAAAATCAGCACAGAAAAAGATGTCAATAGACAGTATGTTGCTATCACATGAGCGTGGGAGAAGCTATAAATTAGTTCTGATGGTATAATTACAGAAATTTTAAAATTCTGGATGCTAACATCTCTCGGTAAAGACTAGCTAAACATTTTCTTTCAATTGTAGACTAATCTGCCTACACAATTTTCTTTGCGAGCTTGATTATATTACAATCCCTAGATAGCTTGATAAATCATTTTTTTAACAAATTAAATTAATAGTAGTTTAAATATTAGTAAGTTGAAATTATTTTAAGGCAGACTGAACCACAGTAGGTTGCTTTATTGTGAACTTTGTACTAAACACTACTTATGGTAAACAACAGCAGATGAAACAAAACAGTGAGAAAAACCTTATCTTATTTCACAGTAAATAATAAATTAAAATACATTCTTATTCTAGTGAACATGTTAAATGTCTCATTTTAAAACTTCTCTCTAGCAATAAACAACAATCAAATGAGAATTCAAGAAATCAGTGCTCCCACAAAGAAGAAAAACATAGATTATACTCAAGTTGAACCAAAATAAGCAGTACTCAAAACAGACTTTGTTTATCTATAGCACACAAAAATCCTGGGAGTAATTTTTGCTGTACTAACATCTATTTATTGTAGAGAATAATTTATCACGGAAGATAGAGCTGCTTTTAAATTAATTCTGCATCTGTTTCGGGAAGGTAGAAAAGCATGGTAGCAAGATGAGAAAACAGACTGCAGTGAACATAAATAGATCCAACGCTACTATCAAATTTGCCCCCCAAAAAGTCTATGATAACTCATTAAAAACCTGCAATTAAATTAAGATGATGCTTGGGAGACTTAGTTCCATAGGCTATGATTTGGAGTATTATAAACAGGTAAGTGCAAATGAAGAAACTAATTTTCAGAACAAGTCTATACACCATCAAAAAGATGAGGGAGAACCCAGCCCACACTAGGGAAGTAACTGTGCCATCAATGCATTTGCAGTAATGGAAACAGGTATGTTTGGTAACTACTGTAATAACAATGTCAAACGAAAAAAGTCATTACTACAGATAGTACCAACGATATCTAAGTTGTCTAACCTGAATGAATCTTCCTTTCCACTTCAAAGCATAAACATTTTCTATTGGTATATTGCTGGAACTTCATCAAAATTTCTCCAGACTCATTAGAACTGCTGCTTGTCTGTGAGAAACTCACTGCCAACATACCATACATGGCACCTGTAGTAAAATCTATACTTAAGCATGGCCACTACTTTCCATATAAGATTCTACATTCAGCCACTTGAAACTTTCTCCATGTTACCGATTTAAGCTGAAATTCTTCATGTTAGATGACTGTTTTTGTAGCTTCTTGCTTTTAATTCAGCAAATAATTTCAAACTGTTCTTGAATGCAACTGAAACAAATGTTTATTTCGTTTATTAACCCCCACAATTATTTGTAGGAAGCCTATATTCCCAAGCATTCTTTGGAATGAAGACAGACGAGGGATTTGAGAGTGTACCATGATGATGTCGAAGAATATTCTACTAGCAATCCAAAACTGATTATGCTGGAGCTTTTGAAAAAGTAAATTTCACACAAACTCAACACAGCCTTGTTTGAATCAGGCATCTAAATTCTTCAAATGTTCTATCTGTCATGAGGCATAATTCAATCCAAAGCTGCAACAGCCTGAATTTCTTTTCTCTCACCCCTTCAGAATGCTTTCAGGTTTTATTGTGGTGCAAAGAAAAGAAACTGAGAGCAAAGAAAATTTCACTTAGTTGCATTGTACTATTCCAGCAGGCTCCAAAACTGCAAGGAGAAGAGAAATTAGTCTAACTGGAAGTGAAGCAATATGAGGAGGTGGATGTAGAAAGGAAACCAGAGAGGAGACAAAGAAAAGACTCGGACTAGAATGAGCACAAGCTTAACAGAAATGCAGAAGGGTCCGAATGCATGGTTGAACGTATCAGTAGCCACTAGCACATACTTCAGTCAAATACAAGAATAAAACCATGGATTTTGAAGTTTTATAATTCCTCTTTTGATAACAGATGTGAAACAAGGACATCTTATCATACTGAAGTCGTATGAAACTCTGCTGCATTCCTCTGCATCAATGAACTGTAATTAACTAAGAGTCTAATGTTGGGCAGCTTAACCGTTTGATAAATTTCCTCTTTACTTCTTGACCTGATTTCACAACATAAAGTAATCTTTTCAACTTCTTTGTTGAACTTCAGTCAAGTGAATGCTACCTATATTAACAAGAAGACTTATACTATAAAACTGATGATAACTTATCCTTGTAATTCCCTCTTAGTTTCAATCCCCTCGCCGGCCTAAGTTGCATTTTGTCAAAGAACTACACAACACTCTTCTTCTCTACCAGTCTTGAAGCTGACTCGATTTTCTGTCTCTACCTGTTGGAACCTATATGCCAGCCAGTGGTACTGGCCAATGATTTCTGGAGGGAAATACAGTTTTATCAAACGTTTCTTCTTTCAATAGCACCCATATAAGCCTCTTCCATCTTTTTGAGTTGAACGAATAGATTTACGGCCACCAGGAATTCCTTCATGTTGCAGGAAATACAAAGCTGCCAAGGACTAAAACCTGATACTATAATTTCAAAACTTCTGATTCTTTTAGAACATATCATGGAAATTCAAAAACTCAGAGATGATATGTAAAATCTCAATGGGCCTGGATTCTTTCTGCAGAAGTCAGGTATATAGAAAATTATGCTTATCATAAAAATCTAACAATCAATCTTAACTAAGGAACAGGTCTCACCAATAGGGTACTACGTTTTTTTTTGAAAACATGCTTTTACATGGTTTCAGATTATTTGTAGTACCTGCTGAAGAAACCTAATGAAGTTTAGAAGAAGGATAGGAGCCTTAAGGAGAAGCATATAGCATATTTAATGAAAGCATTAATAAATTTTATTAGCAAGCAAGGCCAACAGTATAGTCACTACCTATACAAGAACCATTTCTGACTATTAAGTACAAATAACACTATTCTCTTTTTTTTCCTCTCATTGCCACTCTACTAATATGGATTACGCTGTCAGAAAATTATAAACAGATTAAACTGAAGAATTACTTCAGTTACATTGTAGGGCACTGCAATGAAAAACAAAAGGCAAGAGCTGAGTTGTTACAAATGACAGAATAGCAGAAATATTAAATTTTCTGTTGTCATCACCTATTTTTCCTTAAAATACTACAATTAGTGTGTATATATATAGAAGTTACAGAATCTTGGGAATTGTTTTCTCTTTGAAATTACAGGTCAGTTAGAAAAACATTGTAAGCAGCCAAACATACAGAAGACAACAAGAACATTGAGAAATAAAAAAAAAAAATTAAAACTACTTAAAATGTTTAGCTCACCTTTCCAACAGCAGCAGCCACTCTGTTGGTCTCCCCTGCTCTTTGCTTTCATTGCAATGTCCAGCATTATGGCTGAAGGAATAGAGTACAGCAGAACCCTGCTAATTTACCTTACTAATTCAAATACCTCATAATTTGCACACAAAAATTTGCTACTTTCTCAACTTCTTAGGCAAAATAAAATTTAAAGTCCTGTAGAGATGGCTTCTCCATTCAAATTGCATCACATCAATAAATGTGCTACACAATACTGACTAGTACGTTATTCAGTATTACTACCAAAGCATAATCTAAACTGGTTTAATAAAGAAAACTATGTTTTCTTTAAAACATCACCATGTACCATGGCACTGACTTGCTCATTTTCAAACTTTGAAATTAACAAAAGGACTGCCTGCCAGTGAATTAGGGAGGCTCTATTGTACTTAAAACTGTAATGTCCTCATTGATATGCTTTTATCTACAATTTTCTTCATACTGCATCACATGGGAATACAGCAACTACACTTAACTATGTCCTGTTATATATTATAATTAGTCTCCTATCACTGTTTCAATTATTCAGACTTTCTCTTTCAGAAGATTATACATTCAGTTTAGTGTTTGACTTTTTTCTCCAATATAGATTTTTTTTTTTTCTCCCTGCAATATATAATACCAAGTGAAATTCAGCTCTGGTGAATTATTCTGATATTTAATTAAAACCTATTTGTTGCTTGATTTTCCAAATCAAAAAATAGATTTAAAAAAAAAAAACCTCATAGACTAGACCTCTGCCTCAAGCCAAAAATTAGAAACTGGATTCATTCCTGACTGCCAGTCTTTTAAGACAATCAATAAATCACATGTCATTTCCAATCTGAGATGATGTTTGCCAAGTTTAGATCAGTTACCAGTTCAATGCAACTCCCATATTTCTCCAGAAAAAAAGACAGCATATTACCCACATTCAATTAGTCAAATTGACAACTGTGAAAAAAATCTTACTGGTCTGACATCCCCACATGAGTTGGTAAACTGCCGTGCCAAGCCAAAATCCAGCATATAACACTTCCTACAGGTGCTAGGAAAACGTCCCATTGCGAAGTTAGACTAGGAAGAAAAACAGAGATAGACATATAGATATAGATATATACAAATACACTTCAATATGTGCACGTACTAATGCAGTAACACAATCATAGAAAATCCACATTCTACTTCTTTATCAATCCTCATATATTTTCAGTTCTATTAAATTCCCATTAAATTTGAAACGTTGTTAAGAAAAATCAGACATCCAACTTAGCATATCTGAACAGCAGCCTACATGGTCCAAAGACACTGTCATCTTACTTCGTCATTTAGAATGTATTAATTTTTAGCAGGAATTTTCCAGTCATGTCACCCACTCACATATTTTCATTTGGACATTTCAAAAAACCACCAATCTAAGGGCTAACAAGTTCACCTAAACAAATTCACTAATATCACATATGCAGAATACAGAATAAGGGAATAAGGGGTGCACACTGCCCTTTCCTTTTCATGAGAGGAGGAAGTACCAGATTTAAAAACAAAAACAAAAACAAAAACAAAAAAAAAAAAACCAAACAAACAATGGAACAATAGTAAGAACTGGAAAGTCACTGAGGACGTATGGAGGTAATTCATTCTGAAAAGCTTCAGTAAATTTTCTTATTTGGCTCTCCAGATTAATGTTCCATGTTAGCCCTTTTAAAAAAATTCTTGAACACTGCTAGTTTACAATGTTTGAACATGTCAGCTGAATCAGTTCATGTCTCTCCCCACCAAATCCCTTTAAAATGGATTATGCAATACAAAAAAAGATAAGGCTAAAACAGAGTTCTGTGAAATGGAATTAAAACTACACGTCTGAGCAAGCTGGAAGCTTAACGCAATTAACTCTAGAAAAACTACTTTCTTCTTCCATTAAGTAAAACAGCAGTACTGTTCTAAGCAGATCTGAAATTCACAGCTGCTTCAGTGTCAAAGGTTGCAGCTAAAAACCAATCGAAACCATGAACTGAGTGTGATCAACATTATTTTTAAATGAAACAGAATTTCAGCATCGCCTAATTTATCATGAGGCAAATAACCAAAGATTTTAAGACAGAATTTCAGCATCGCCTAATTTATCATGAGGCAAATAACCAAAGATTTTAAGATTTCAGCTCAGCACAAAGCTTGCTTGTAGAATAATCTATCTAGAAGATACATAATAAAAGATAAAATGGACTTGTATTTTCAAGCCAGGAAAACTGCATGCTATAAAGCACTTGTGTCTTCTTTGCAAGTGTAAGACACAACACAATTTCTAAAGGAGAAGAAAAATTCTGTCTTTTATGAATCTAAAATATTGCCTCACACTGCTGTTTATTCTGGCTCGACATTTAAACTTCTGGGTTTTTCCATCTCCTAAGAGAATTCTCCATTTCCATCCTACTTGAGGCCATAGACTCCAAGATACAGCTAGATAACAAGACATCCTCAATCCATCCTGACAGTCATAAAGGAACACATTCCCCATTCAAAACTTGAGTTGTTTTCATCATTAAAATCTTGCGCGCCAGCTAACTCCTCCTCACCTATTTCACTTGGCATTCACTGCTGCTGCGTCCTTTCCCTATTAAACGAAGTCTTGTGGATGGGTCAGGGACAATACAAGTTTTAAAAAAAGTTGCAAGTAAGAAGTGATAAAAATGAAAATTCCCTAATGCATAGAAACTTATCAGAGGTTTTAGGAAAACATCATTCACCAACAGGAAATTTAGTTATATATGCCAGATATAACCAGCTATATTTGCATCTATTAGAAAACACAAGATTTGCTTTTTTTTCCCTCATTTACAAATTTTGAAAGTTCAGAGTTCTAATGATATTTTTAATATAGAGCAATATTAAAAATAGCTGATGCAATTTCAGGAATAAATTCAAAGCAAAACCAGAAAAAACAGTAAGAACAAAAGCATGATGGTATCAGGAAGGCACTGTGCTCATGACATTGTGTTAACTCATTTTATTAGAATTGCACAATTAAACAATTGAACAGTTTTCTCTTACAGTCTGTTCTCTTTCCTTGTTTGTTATAAATATATTAAACACAAAAAAAATGCTATGGAACACCTTATAAATGTACTCTACAGTTTGTACCTATTCTCTTGGATTTATTATTATAAGATATGAATTGCCATTAGTCAAACTGATTATATTATATCTCATGGCAAATACTCTTGATTACATGATGCTACAGATAAGATTTGGAAGTTTTAACTACAGAAAATTGCAATGGAGTCTAAGTAACTGGAGACGATGATGACAAAGACCAAAGTTATTGTTATTGCAATCCAACATGAACTTGTAGAAAAAAATCTGCCCTATCTGATGAATAAACATTCAGCCTTCTGTCCCTTCTCATTTTTTCATTTTAACATCTAGTATAGAACCTATTCTTATTCATGCAGCCATCTAATTCCCACATATCACTTGCGTGTTTTGATTTAATGGGCAGACTTACTGGTTTTATGTCCCTGTGCAGGAATCCCACAGAATGAATACTTTCAATAGATTCCAGTATCTGCTTCCCAAGCCGCAGAGTGGTACTAATGGTGAACGTTCCTCGAGACTGGCTCCGACGCAGGTCTGCCAAGTTTCGACCCTGATCAAATTAAAAGGACATTTTCATAAAAAAATTACTAATGCCAAGATTCACAGATAGTGTAAAGTCTTCCTACTTCTCCTTTAGCTGTTCATAGTTAACCATGGAATACTCTCATTACATATTTTCATATTCAAGGATAACACATCTCACCTAAACGTAATGAGCATATATTCCCGAGTACCTCCAACATTAAATTTAGAAACTTTTTTTGAAAATATGCATCTTAGTATATTTCTACCACTAAATAACATGAACTAAACTAATCTCTATTAGAAGACTAGTACATACGCCATTAATTAATGTTGTATCTGTGTCACACATGAAAAAAGCCACTGAGAAAATGCTCACAAAATTTCTTTACACTCATCTCTTTAGGGAAAAGTATATCATTTATTTAATTATACAGTACATCTTAGATGACTTAACCAAATGGGTTATGCAGGAAATGCACCCCCACAACATCATAGAACTGTTAGTCTGTCAAAATAATAGACGACCAACAGTAAGAACACTTCTTTTTCCAGTATTCATATTCAACAGGATGATAAAGGACAATAGTCCCATAATCTTAAATGATAATCACTCATTTTCTCCCTTTTCACAGGAACAAGTCTTTCAGTAAATTGAATTTTCTTTCACTTGCAAAGGGTATTTTTCCACTTTCATCAAAAAAGCAAACAAAATGCACAGACTAATGTATTATCTTTTAGACTATCCTCAACTGAAAAACTTCAAAAGAATGTGAATTATCTCAGAAGACATCACAGTTCACTCTTTCAATAGTCAGGTCTTTCTGAGGTGCAAACTTTGTCCTTTCTGAGAGAATTATGGAAAGGATATCAAAGGATAAGGATGTAAGCGTATGCTCAATTTAGGTTAGCTCACTCTATGCGTTCATGACCTTTGGAGTTTTTTTTAGATCTGTCATCCTCTGAAATTTTACTGAGATTTTCCTATATGCTTGGCTAATAAACTAAAACACACAAGCAAATTTTGAGCTCTATTTGAAACACTGACCTGCAACTGCATGACCACATAGTTAAATCTGTCGTTCCTTCCACATCCAATGAATCTACAGACATGATCTTTTCCTGAGAGAAAAAGAAGCAAATTAGCCAGTAATAATGAAATTCTGTAGTTTATTCCTTTAAATACCTAGCAAATGACTGGAAGAGGTAGTTACATTTCTTTAGAGATCTTTAATAAACTAAGCCCCCCTACCCCTAGAGTTCAACAGCTGCAAAAACAGTGTCAGTTATACCCCCAGTTAAATAAAAGTTTTCTACCATAAAATAAGCAGCCTTATCACAGCTAGCACTCTTTCATAAAAAAACATGCATGGCAACATGTCTAAATGTCCACAAATTTGAGATATTTTAAGTTGGGAAAAGGTTATTTTCTAGCAAAGCTGATGGCTTGCTACAGACAATATTCCTAGCCACCATTCCTCCCTTCCTTTAAGCTGCAGCTGCCATGACAAAATAAAACAGTAGTAGTTACCTGTGGGTCATATTTTGTATTAAAAAACTCTAGAAAATGTAATTCAACTAATCCAATTTATGAATATCTTTTTCAAGAATATGATTTTTGCTGTTTAGCTACAAAAGACAAACTCAGTTCAGGTACACTGAAGGAGAGATAAAAGAATTGTAGTAGTTAAAAATCACAGTTTGGTTTAAGCTAGTTTTCTTTAAAGCCTCCTCGTGTCCTAGGAGCAAACTGTGGAGGAGAAGAGGGCTGGTCAAAAATAATCTCCTTACTATCCTGCAGTTGTAAATATAATTTCCCACGTAAACAGAGAAAAAGGCAAGCCAAAGACTGCAGGAGGGAAACAGAAGGGGAATGCTACCTCATTGTCATTTCAGTATCTGTGTCCACCACCTTGGCGAGAAGCTGGGACCCTTTATGACTTCCCCTCTGCAACAGAACTATAGGGTTTAAGTCCCTCAGGCCATTTACCTTCCTTTCTGACACTATTGGAGCTACAGCCAAGAGAAAGCTGATGGTCATAAATGGACACAAAAGCTGTGTAAAATTTGTGTCACCTGAGGTTTCTTCATCATTTCTTGACCCTTAGGATTACCGGAATGACAAAAATAGGAAAAAACAAAAAGAAGCGATAGGAGACAAGCATTACTGCTACCTAGAGATTTGGCAGGGCTTTTTGTTACTGCTGCACTCATAGCTCCATCAAAACCCTAAAAAACTTGGGCCTATCGCTGCTGAATATTTCCACTTTGCCTGACAGAAGAGCTGTTGCCTGTTTGTTGCTTCCTCAGGTAGCTCCCTGCCACATACAATCAAAACAGACAGGCCCATTTAAACAAAGAAAATGGTGCAGGATTCATCAAAATAATTTATTTGAAAAGAATTATTTTGAAAGACATCTCTACAATGTCTGTAAATACATAAGAGCTAAGCTGTAAGTATCACTGCTTTTCCTCCACTTTTTCCTTCCACCCATTTGTTTAAGTGAGACAGGCAATATTACAGACAATATAATTTTATGAAGAAAAAGTATTTGCAGCTAATTTGTCAAGGTGAAATTTCATATATTCATTGCTGCAGCTTCCAGTTAATGAAATCTCATCTCAAATATTTATGATTCACTTTACAGCCACTGTGGGTATGCTGAAGGAACATGTTCAGAGAAACATATTAGTCAGATTTCATCTGACAAAATCAGTAAACGTTCAAAACTTGGTTTGGTCAGAGAAATCCCACATTAACTGGAGCAGCAACTCCAGTCGTGTGGTAAGTTCTCTGGAAACTAACTTTTATAAAAATCTGAGGAAACGGGAGAAGACAGAAGTAGTGCCTGTACACCTTACTCCAATCGCATGGTCCTCCTCCACTCCAGTGTGGCTATAGGCACCTACTACACCTTTGCAGACACCTTCAGTTCCTTTTCCCACAGTGAGAAAACAGTTTTTTCTCACACCTGTGAGCCACATGGCTGGGGAGCAGGCGAGAAGAAGATGGTAACAGGCTGCAGTGAACAACTATGGCCTTGAAATGCCTCCTAGGGAGGGTACAAAGCATACATACCGTTCCCCAAGCTGCAGTGTATCACTACAGCTAATTTCTCAGCCTACACCAGATGCAACCCATCACTAAATTATGCTAGAGAGCTGTAAATGAGTGAGCAAGAAGTCTGTAAGGTTGTGTGAGACGGAAACCAACTGAGTGAGTCTCACTCTCACTGAGTGAGATGTGATAAATCTGTCTTCTCCCATCTGACGGTGGAACAGATGGCCTAACAACATGATTAAACAAAATAACCATCTGTTGCAGCAAATTTCTTTAAAAAAAACCAAAAAAAAACCCCAAACCACCCACAACCAAAAACATTGCTTAAAGAGTTAAACAGTATCCTGACAACAAAAATTAGGAGAGAGTATCATTGGTAGGAGAAAAAAAAAAAAAAACAAACCACCTCAAAGATGCACTGTATGACTAAGCTGTAATAAAAGGCCGTATCAGTGAACATACTCCTCCTTCATAACAAAGAGAGAAGTCATATAACTACTCGCATATTTAAGCATGTTTTGCTAGATCAGGGACTTAAAAGAGCTTCATTTCAATTTTTCATTATTCCCTGTACTGCATACCTACAAAGTTATGACTCATTTCACCCCCGCAATGAATGACCACAGTTTGAATTTTCAAAATTTCTGAAAGAAAAATAATAAAAATAGTACACCCCTGCATATTTGCCAACAGCAATTCTCATTTCAGTTTCACAGTTTCTGTGAAATAAGTCTAAATCAGAAACACTCAAAAGTATGTTTACAACCTTGAGAACGTGCCTAGCTGGAAGAGTGTTTTGCTGGACTGAGACATATATAGCTGTGTATTTAATTCTTTCCTAAAAGCCTGTTTCTTCACAACTTCCCCAGAAACTGCACATTATAATAAATATCTTTAAAAAAAAAAAATCAGATCCACATATTAAGAGCATTCTGAATGACACTGTCAGTTCACTGTCTCTCATTACATACTATTAATAAATCAAACTTTCCAAATATTTGAAAGGAAAAAGGATTTTGATGACAATTATATTCCTTCCTCTGATTTATGTTCAAGGTAACTAGAACACCTTGAAAGTAAGAGAACATAAGCTCTTTGAGAAAAGGATAATAATTATATGCATACATATATATACACACATACACGCCAAAAACGGATTAAAAAAAAGAAATCTAGAAGTCAGTCTCAGAGGATGCATGCTATTAGAAGGTTGTTTCAAAAATATCCTAAAAGAACTGTTTACAATTCCATCTGCTCTGAATCTGCATGAAAAAAAAACATTCAAAAATAAGAAAAATTTCTACATTGTAAATTAAGTATTTAATAAAAAATACTCTTCAAGAAGCAACAATAAAGCTGTTTTCTACTCCCCATTTTTGTCCATTTTTTTTAATTTTCACACTGCTTCAAATTTTTAGCTCTTGCACACCAAAAACTTGAGAAGGTAGAAAAATTAATGGAAATGGTTCCTAGGATCCAAGATTTTGTGTAAAACATAAAATGGTCTCTACCATAATTTTACTTAATAAAAATCTTTTAAGTATAGATAAAAATATATGCATGTAAAGATAAAGTTACATATCTGCGCAAACTATAAATCCCAATATACGCAAAAGCTTCACTGTTGACTCATCTTTTACTGTAGTCACTTTCCTGATCATCTATGACATTCCCTATCTAAGACCAGAGCAGTTACACTGTAATGTGGAACTTGCACAGCGATGACTAAAGGTCGCCTCCAGTGTTACTATTATGGAATCATAGACTTTTTTTTAAAATTTTTTGCTTTTAAACTGTGAAGAGAATAATAAGAAATAAAAGTTAAGGAATAATACTTAGATTCTTTTCTCATAAGGAAGGTTGTCAAAAGAGCACCTTCAAAAACAAGGTTTCAGTTACATAGAAATTTATGTACTGTTTTCTCAGATATTGAGAAAATAAATAACTAAAAGATCTTTATTTGGGTTGTACATTATTTGGATTATTGCCTCAGTGGATCTGTTGTTCAGGTGTTTCATTATTCTGATCTTTTAATCGAGACAGCATTTCCCATGATTCAGCAGAACCAGAGATTCTTCTGCATGAAAACTTGAGTTGTTACAGGAATTATATTCCCAAAGGAAGACTGATAAGAAAATTATAACTTCTATAAGGCCCTATGGTAGTTATTCGCAGATCCATTTTTTATTATTTCAGTAAACATTTTTGGTTTTCAAAAGGTTAAAAAGTTTTTACTATGAAAAAAGCATTTTTGTAACATCTTAACTCAAACTTCACTATACTTAAATTCACAGTACAAAGCTATAAGGCACTTCAGTTACGCAGTCATATGTAAGGCTATGTTTTTACAAATACATTGGCATTGTAGTGTTACCAAATTCCAGTATTTCATTTCAGTTAATACTATTTTCTTTATTACTGTAGCTGCTTCACCTAAGCCATTTTAGAGACTCGTTTTTTTATTAAAAATGGAATCAAGCTCACGTGTGCAGAAAAAAAAAAAACAACTTGAAAAATTAATTCTGGACATTTAAAAAAAACAGGACTTACAGAGTATTTGTTTCTTCAAAACTCACAATCTTTAAGATAACTTATTTCAAGAATCTTGACAAACGTTTTCTAAATTTATGACTGGTAATACTGAAAGTTACTATTCATCTCTGGACTAGAAACTCCAGAATTCAAATAAAGCTAATATGCAATCCCTGAATCTCCTTGCTCGACTATATAATACTAGATGTTTTTGTGAAATTCTTTAAAAAGATATATATATAGGAACAGTCTGTTAACACTATAACATGTGACATGCTTGCCCTCTTAAATCTATAGAGGCTGTCAATTTCTGCTGCAATGTGACCTTTACAGCAGATTAGGCAGCACCATATGTCATGCAGATTTTGTTTTATTCAAACTAAGAGTTTGGGAAAATCTGGCTGCTGACAGGGGCAGATATATTAGTCCAAATCTTCCAGATTCAAAATAATTTTTTAAATAAAAAAAGTCACCCTTTAAACTTCCTTTTTATAACATTACATTGTGGAAAGCAATGAAGAGAAGCCATTGCATATTTCTGTGTATTGATAGCTTCCAACATTAAAGTATTTAAAGGTACATCAAAAGTGTATTCAAAGCTGTGATTCTGAGTAGTCAAGGACCTGAACCCTAAAAGTACTTCAGGAGTCTACACGCCAGAAATCTTTTTTTTCTACAAGTTACAGTATTTCAAAGTTGATTTTTCTGTCTGTTTATGTGGGTTTTTTTGAAATATGTTTCCCATTTCAACATTAGAATTACTTTTTGACAATATTGCAGAGAAATACAAATCTTCTTATCCTGGATACTATGTGAAGGACTCACAAATATTCAATGATAGTACAGAAAAAAATAGACCATCTTAGAAGGAGAAACAAAAAGCTAACAACGACAAAGTCTAGAGCAAAAAAGCTAAGAAGAAAGTTGAGCATAGGTTTTGCAGCAATTTAATTTTCTTGTTGTTCTTTTTATTTTCACATCATCCTGTTTCAAAGAAAAGGTTCTTTGTAGCAAAAATTTCAGAAGCTGAAAGAGCTGCTATTCCACTTTTAATAACCATTTAGCAATAATCTGCAGAATATGGGAAATATTTACTCAAACTATGACTAAATAAGGATTACAATGATTTTTTAAGAAGATACACTGACATCCTACTTCTGGCATAGCCAGGGTACAGCCCTACCTTGCAATTTCTTCAACACAGCGACTTCCATTTTCAGCACTTGCTTGGGCTGCTGAGCTGACTCCACCTTCAGTGCAACATTTTCCCGAGTAAGCAAGTCCAGTGCATCGTAAATTTCTCCGAATCCTCCACCTCCAATTTTTCTCAACTATATTAGAAAAAAAAAGAACCAAAAACAGATTTAAAAAAGAGAAGGAAACAAAACATCAATACTTCTTTGTACAGCCTGCCATACTGCAAACATTGTTATATTACTACTAGATTTTAAAATAACATAATTGTATCCTTCAGTACATAAAAGAACTACTGAATAATCTATAAAGGTATGGTTAAGCAAAGTTTGGAAGAGAATCCTATGAAAACAAGTTACTACACCTGATCTCCACCTGCACTAAACTTCTCATATTTAATATGTCAGAAGAGTGCACTAGCATTCCCAGCATGAATCTGACAAACTCAGTATGCTGAATAAAGTCTTTCCTCAAATAGTCACATACTACCCAGAGACCTTTAAATACAAATGCACACTGACATTTTTAAAATATGCCATCTCCTTCTTTTTTTCCAAAATATGCACACTGAATATTAAAGATACAAAAGTTCTTGGACTTCATAAAGAGATAGCATTTTATTTTATATGCAGTGACTTGCCCATAACAGGTAAATCGTAATGATGAGAAATTACTAAGGTTATCTCTGAATACATATTTTAAAGTTACACATATTTACTTATGGTTCACCAATACCATTTTTAACAACAGTCACATTCAGAAGCTTGCACCACTGAATGTTTCATCTGTTAGGAAGTGGTAAAAAGAATGCTCCTGGCATATCAGTTCGCACTAATTTTTAATTGGTTTGCACTAAGTTTGCACATCCAGAGCAAATATTAACAGTTGTTTTTTCACTCTGCTTTAAACGTTCACAGGATACAGAGACTTGTCTGGTTTTCAGTATCAAAAACGTCAACATTATTTCAGGTAATGCTTTCATATGGTGATCTTCCCTGTAGCTACCATTCTAAAAGTGATAAAAGAGAAAAGCAGACAAAGAGAACTTACCCTAAGAAACATACTATATTGTATTTTTACTATATTTTACCTTAAAAAAAAAAAGACATGATTTTCTAAATGTCATTTGAAAACATACAGTTGCTAAGGTTATATGACTGTACTATCTTAAATGTCATCTAAACATTTTGGAAATCTAGACATCAGCAATATGCTGACCTATCTTCAGATTCTGAAAATAAATCTAATGTCTCCTAATCCAGACAATCAGCCATCTGACTGAGCAGCAAAAACAATTTTTAAAATAGCCTATGCCCCTAAGAATAAGGACAAAGATAACAGATCAAATACTCGTATTACTTACTTGCATTTTTGAGTCATATCACATGAATTTTTTATTCTCTATGATTACAACAATACTCAGTATTTCATCATGCACTTTCTGTCCTGAAGACCTTTAACATCACTACATTCTTAAGATGAGGAAAATATGATCCCAGATATATAGCATTATTCACTTCTTTTGTCCAATTCATTGCCAATTTTTAAAAAGTGCATATGATAGCACACCAGATTTTCAGACTGTGGTGGGTTGACTATAACTGGACACCAGGAACCCACCAAAGCTGCTCTATCACTCCCCTCCTCAGCTGGACAAGGAAGAGAAAATACAACAAAAGGCTTGTGGGTCAAGATACAGACAGGGAGACTACTCAGAAATTACCGTCACGGGCTAAACAGACTTGACTTGGGGAAATCAGTTTAATTTATTACCAATCAAATCAGAGAAGGACAATGAGAAATAAGTAAAAAAAACCCACCAGATCTTAAAACACCTAAATACCTTCCCTCAACCTCTCCCTTCTTCCCAGACTTGGCTTTACTCCTGATTTTCTCTGTCTCCACCCGACTGAGCAATGTAGGGGGGCAGGGAACAGAGGTTGCAGTAAGTTCATCACACTTTGTTTCCTCCTCAGGGAGAGGACTCCTCACGGTCTTCCCCTTCACCAGCATGGGGTCCCTCCCACAGAAGACAGTTCTGCACAAACTTCTCCAACATGAGTCCTTCCCACAGGCTACAGTTCTTCATGAACCCCTCCAGTGCGGGGTCACAAGTCCTGCCAGCAAACCTGCTCCTCTCTCCACGGGGCCAGGAGTGTGATCCAGCACGGGCTTCCTACAGGGTCACAGCCTCCTTCGGGCAGCCACCTGCTCCTGTCTCTGAAGCAGCGTAACACGCATGCTACCAACACAGGCTTAAGCCTGTTACTCTTTGACTTACGCGTTTCAGGAACTTAACAAATTCAAGTACAGAGCATCCCAAATCCTGAGTAAGATGTTTGTGTCTTTGGACATGACTTCTTTCAGGTACTACTCAGATAAGAATCTAGGGTTAAATCTAAAATAATGACAACTGTGAGAAATAGAAAACTTTCAAGTCCAATGAAATGTTCAGTATTACTTGGTTATATTCAGATGTATTTAATATATGCAGAGTGTTAGTCCTTACAGAAAGGAAAGAGATTAATCAGCTAAATAGTGGAAAAAAAATAGCATGTTTTAACAGGATTATATATATGTAACTATATTTAAATAGTATGTGCGTATCTTTGTATATCTCTTAAAATGTAGTTTTGTGACTAATTAGGCCATTTTTAAGTCTGCATTTTTCCATTCCACCTCTTGGTCACGTAATGCCATTGTCATGGTTTAGGCCCAGGAGGCAATAAGCACCATGCAGCCACTTGCCCAGTCCTTCCCCACTCCATCTCATCCCCTGGTGGGATGGAGGGGACAAAATAGAACAGAAAGCTCAAGGGTCGAGATAAGAACAGGGAGGGATCACTCACCAGTCTTATGGCCACGAGCAAAATGGACTCAAACTGGGGACAGATCAATTTAATTTGTTACCAGTCACATCAGAGAGGATAATGAGAAATAAAGCCAGATCTTAAAAAACACCTTCTCCCCACCCCTTCCTTCTTCCCAGCTCTACCTCCTCCCCACAGCGGCACAAGGAAACAGGGAATAGGTGTTTGTGGTCAGTTCATCACATGTTGTTTCTGCTGCTCCTTCCTCTTCAGGGGGAGGACTCCTCACACACTCTTCCCCTGCTCCAACATGGGGTCCCTTCCCAAGGGAGACAGTTCTCCACAAACTTTTCTGATGTGAGTCCTTCCCACAGAATCACAGGAGACAGTCCTCTATGAACTCCTTCAAGCACAACCACCCGCTCCAGCATGGGGTCCTCCACAGGCTGCAGGTGCATCTCTGCTCCACCATTAACCTCCATGGGCTGCAGGCGAGTCTCAGCTCTGGTGGACCTCCTCTTCCTCCTCCATCTTCACAGACCTTGGTGTCTGTATAGCTGTTTCTCTCACATCCCACTCCTATCTCCACAGCAGCTGCGCTGGGCCTGATGAACCTTGGCAGTCCCAGAAGAAATAACTCCCCACAGGAGGCACCCCAGAAATGGGGAGCTTCAAAGCACTCCAAGCCATGTCACCACGGCCATCACCAGTCAAGTGGCAGCAGACCAACGTGTGCAGCTGCTTGCATGGGAGGCCACGGGCCAGGTTCCCCCCTGCCTTCTCCCTCTCTTCGCTGCAGGTCCCGCATGGCAGGGGTTTCTTTGTCCCCTTCTTAAATATGCTATTCAGAGGCACTGATTGGCTCAGCCTTGGCCAGAGATGGGTCCAATCTGGCCAGGGGTAGGTCTGACTTTTGGAGCTAGGGAAGCTTCTAGCAGCTTCTTACAGGGGCTATCTCTGTAGCCCCTCCCCTGCTCACCACATAAGCCCAGCACAGCCATTATCTTGCCTGAGCTCTGAACTATTAATGGGTTCCCACAGTTAAACATAGACATTAATCTGATTGTAGTTTTCAGCATAAACACATAAATTTTCAGCATAGTACAAGGAAAACAGTGAGAATGCATAGTGAAAAAGCTGAAATGGAAAAAGGAAAGAGGTGACACAGGCATCCTCATCCATATACAAACTTAGTTTATCATATAACTTCATTTTCTAGCTTTGAGAAATGGCCAGACTGAGAAAGACTGCCTCTGAAAGGTGTTTTTTTCCTGCTTCTATGCTTAAAAAAACCTTTAAAAACAAACAAACAAAATACCAAAACAAAACCAAACACACCACCACACTAATAAAACAAAAAGATCGATTTCTATCCTCAGATAAAGTACAGCAGAATCATTAACATATATCCAATAATGACATTAGTCAACAATTCCAGGTACAAATCAACCTCTCTGATTGTAGAAAAAGTATTTTCCACACCCTTTGTCAGTGGGTCACAGACCACATTCAGCAATGAGCCCATGTTTTCCTTGGTCGTCTTTGCTGCCAATGTCCCTGTAAAAGCCTTTCTCGTTGACTTTTCAGATCCCTCACCAGTTTCAACTGCCAGCTGAGCTCTGCCTTTCCTGTATATTCATCTAAACACAGAGAGGCAATATCTCCATATTAATCTTGGGCAGCCCATCCCTGTTTCCATCTTTTGTTTGCTTGCGTTTTGCTTTTGAGTTCACACAGGAGTGGCCTGTTTAATCACACTGGCCTCCTACCACTTCTCCTCAACATCTTTTACCTTGACAAGGACCATGTTGCCCTCTTTTACACCTGCACTACATTCTCCCATTTTGTTTCAAGCTTCTCTTCTTTGCATTCAGCATCTCTCACCCCAAACTCACACTCTCCATTCTCTCTTTGCATTGTATCTTTTTTGTATCTTTCAAGCCTAAAGCATACAATTTCCAGTATGTTTTATCTTGGTACTTTCACTTACACTGCATGTTGAATGACATTCTTAAACCTACCTAAAAACAATTATCATTACAATCAAACCTCTACAAGTCAGGATCATAAAATATGTTTCAAAGGCAAAGAGGGACGAGAAAATGCACTGACAGAGGACAACAGCAAATATTAGTAGATACAGAGACCAGTAGAGAGGGATGGTGTCACTGAGCAAAAAAAAATATTTTACAATGTCTTTTCTATGCTTACTTTTCAAAACTGTCTAGGTTAAAATGAAATTTAAATCGAGCATAGTTTTTAAAAACGTTCATGTCCACAAATTCCAGGTGAGTTTTCATGATTACGAAGAGAAAGGTCCTGAACAGCAAAAATTCTCAAAACTGCATTTCAGCTGCAAAGCTTTACATAACTTCTAGAACGTGTACAACTGGTTACAACAAAATAATCTCATCCAATCATACTACAGAGCTGCTATTTTCCAATGGGGGAAAAAAGCCAGATATTGGGAGACTTCCACAAGGAACAATCAGAAACACTACTGATAATTAGGGACAGTACTTACTGTCAGCAAAACTTGAAAGTCCACTGGCTTATACCGCCTCATCTTTCTACACAAGGAATTCTTAAGTACTCTATTGCTTCAAGAACACTAGCAAAAAGCTTCAGTATTTCATGACCTCACAGAACAGTATTAATTATGTTAATACATATGTATCGAGCACTAGGGAATTTCTAAAATATGCATGCTATTTTCTTCCACTGGCAGACTGTCCTATGAAATCCTGAATGCAGAAAGAAGTATATAACCTTAGGTGCCAACAAGAAATCCTTGATGTTTGCTATAGAAATTAAGAAACTGAAGTTACCCACAGACAATATTTAGCACTCATCTAGGTGTAATATTTGATTTGGAAAACATGCAAGTTAAAATGTATAATCACATGAGACGAGCAACAGTCTAGTCTCGAAATTTTTCAAAAGACACCATCTGATCATAATTCTTCATTACATAGGAAAGAAAATAAACCTGAAGAAAACAGGTATAGAAAACTACTACTGCACATATCAGACAAGCGATAGTGGATATGTTCTCTATCAATAACATTATTTTATTCTATTTGATCTGATTCAAGACTATGCTTTCAGTTTTTAATCCACTGCAATATAAGAAAGTATTTTACCAATACTTACACTCCAAAGATAGCTGATAAGGTTTTATTTCCATAAAAGGAAATACAAAAGTTTTCTACGCAAAGCTAGCACCAGCTTCCTACATTTTTAAATGAAGAATAGGGCATGAGATAGTTGAAATTATTTTCCCTATATAAATTTGAAATGAATGATCAATCTGTATCTTCTATGTTCAGTCTCACAGTTTTAAATAAGATATTGAAATATGGGAGTAACATAAAGCAAAGATGGTGCAAAAAATAGTGATTCAGTATATATTCACAGTCTACTAAACACACAGATATTCAAAACATTCTACGAAGTGTTTTTTTTCTTTCTTTCTTTTTTTAAATCTCAAAAAAATCCACAACTAAAAAAAATTCTGAAGTTTTCAGGGGAATAGAAAAGGAACTACAAGAACTCAGCCTGTTTTTCTCAGCAAAACTAGTTTCAAATGCATACTATTTCCCTCTAGATGTAAATGAAGGCTATGAACACCAAAAGGGAACAAACCTATTTATGGTAAAGCCAATACTGACACACAAGCAAATGGATACAAATCAGCCAGGAATAAATTCATGCTAAAAATATAACAAATAAAAATAATTTCTAATTGGAAGAGCAGCAAGGTCCTTAAAGACCTTCCTGTAAGAAGTAACAAATCTCACAATCTGACTAGTTTCAAGAGGGTGCCTGACTGATTTCCGAAATAGACTGACATAATGACTGGCTGATTGGATTCAAGATACTAACAGGACTCTTCCAGTTGTGCTCTGCGCAGGCACTAAGTCAGGATTTAAAAGCTCTCCTGGGTCCTTACCAGAAAAAAAAAACCCACCTTAAATCCATATAACTTCTTTTTAAAGTAGGATAAAAGAAAGAAGTGGTTTTGAAGTCCTTTTACTACAAGTATTAAGCAAAATACATCTCACAAGAATTTTGAAACAGATTTCAAAGCACAATCTACTTCTTTTTAAAAACGTGTTTTAAAGAAGAAAAAGAATTGCAGGAAGGCATACTCACCACCTTCCATCTTTCTTTGACCAAGATTCCCACACTGAGGATGTCAGGCTGCTCCCCTCCTCCACTCATTGCAACCTCCTGACGTGATGGAGCTGCTATGCAAAGTCTATGTCAGCAGAAACCATCCAGATCCCAGGAGTGGCTCCCATTTAACCAGTGACTGCAGAAACAGAGCAGAACATGGGATCTCAATGATATAACAGCATAATATGAAACACAGGAAAAGTTCTGTTCCATTTGTCACCTAGCACCTTAACTAGTTTTTGTATCTCACAGTAACTCATATTGGAATTCTAGTGAAACAACTTCCAGTACAGAAAGTAAGTCAAAGTATATTCTTCCTTGGTTTTTAACCTGCTCTCTTTCAAATCTCCAGCGCAATCTCAAAATAGTACTAATGAATATAAACATTTTCAGAGTTATAGTCTGTGGGCAGTTTCAAATTGCTGTAAATCATAATTATATAAATTTAATAACAACTACTTTAAAAATCTAATGAATAATTTACTAAATAATTGGTTAAATAATTAAAAGTAATGTATAATAATAAGCTTAAAGCAATATTAACCAAAAATTTACAAAATGAAGAGACAGATACTTAAATTGGAATTGTAATTTAATTTATTGCACCGCATACAGACTATTCCATATTATACAATGTGTTTCATATAGCTAGGATTACTTATAATTAAATACGTCTAAAGTACAATTTTGTTGGTTTATGTCAGGGTACAAATAACTAAAGAGAAAAAAACTTGTCTTAGGTAATTCTATCAGTTTAATTTTTTAATTTGCTGGCTTTAGGCAATCATCTCTAAATCAAATTTTATATAGCACTATAAAAATTCATCTTTTGGAGATTAATCCATCCATAATGACTCCCATCAGCAACTACTACAACCAGTTAAAAGCTTATTTCAATTGTTTGAAGCTTTTCTAGAATTCTGCTTATTTGTTGCACTGGTACAGTTATACAAGTGTAACTCTTCGTACGAACTCTCTTATCCAATGATAAGACACTTCAACAGTGTCTTGAGTTTATTTCTATCACTTCCAAAATAGCATAAACTAAAAATGAAAAATTCTTTTCTCCCTGAATTAACACACAAATGGCATACAACGTTGGTACAATCATTGTGATTTAAAATAACAGTATTCCCTACCATGGGGATAAAGGCCAACTTTACCACCGGGGCTAAACTATGCTTCTTAAAAGACGATCTGCTGCTTAAATGACCTGGCTTTTAAGGTAGACATTTGTTTCACATGGCAGTAACTGTGGGGTTTTTTTCATATTCTTTCATATTTATTTTTCGTATTTCATTAATGCCTTTCTTGCTTCAATTGTAAATTCTGACATTTAAACCAACTCCAAATAAAACAAGTCCCTCTGCAGAAAAATTAATCTGGATTAGTTGAAGATCTAAAACTATACCAAATTAGACTGGATTACATCCCTGCAAGGGTGTTCACTCAGAACATGTAGCCTGAATTGGTTTAGTTCAAACAAATGAAGGGAAACCAAATTAAGATTGCATATTCTGAGTAACAGCGTCCACCCTGCAATTTAATCAAGTTGAACTAAACCAATATAAATTCTACCGGTGCTGGTACATTCTCCCCTGCAGATAAGGTCAAAATTCTAAAGAGAACTATAGTCATTTATATGAACACTCTTACCATTACTAACCACTGACCATAATTACTGGCCTCTCTAAAAGAATTATCATAACACAGTCAGGAAGTAAGTAAGTTAAACAGCAAATGAAACAGCACTAATGAAGGGAGAAAGGTCTATTTCTAAAATTACATGCTTACAGCATGGACAGTGATTTTTCAATTTGCTGATACCTTTGTTTCCCCTTCCACCATCCCCCAGTTACATTAAAGTAGGTGGTAGTCTTCACTAAGTAATATGTTTACTCCAATATTAGTACTTCAAGGGCTTTTTGTTCTAATATCTGCTTAAAAAAAAATAATACAGTATTCATCTCACCAGAGCAAAATGTAAAATTGGCAAGTACGAATTTTGCTAAAGCTTCCAAACATGAGCAAAATTCGTCGCCTGTAGGAAAAGTAGATGCTTTGTTAAAGCAGAGCTATGACAACAGTGGGTTTTAGAGTTATTTATTAATATTGCTATCAGCTTTAATCTGATACTTGATTTGATACTTTTTTTAAAATTTCAAATTACAATTTATAGTCACGGCTCTGACAAACATTTCTGAGAGATATTCATTCGCGGATTCTTGAGCATACTAAGAGAGCATCAGTAACCGGCCCAGAATGCAATGGTACAATACATATATCCACACAGCCATCCCATACTTGAAGAATTATCATAGAAGTACCATATTACTGTAGATAGTACTCTGGCCATGCAGGTGTTATCATCTTCATTTGTACACAATTCCTCAATCCTATTTCAATACACCAATTCCTTGTTAAATTTCTTGTCATCGTTTATCATTACAAAGCAATAAAATCTATCCTATATCATCAGTTACTGGTATTCAAGACCAAAACTTCAGGACCCATTAAACTGTCATGCACAAGAGGCAATAGTTCTCTCTTAAGCTCCTGAAGGAAAGCTGACAAAGACCTCCTGAAGCTTAATAATAACTGCAAGCACTATTTTACTTGAAAAAACGCAAGTTTTACGAACATGCTGAGGTTAATACGAAGAATCTTGTTTTCTTCAAGATCCCAAATAAAGTAGCATTAGGATTCAGTCACAAATTTCAAGGCCAGAAAGCTTGAAATTAGCCTGAACTTTTACCTAATCAGGCCACATAACTTTACCCCCTTCAGTGAATTACCTCATAGAATCATAGCATGGCTTGGGTTGGAAGGGATCTTAAAGATCATCTAGTTCCAACCGCCCCCGCCATGGGCAGGGACACCTTCCCCTAGACCAGGTCACTTGAAGCCTCATCCAACCCAGCCTTGAACCCTTCCAGGGATGGGGCAGCCACAACTTCTCTGGGCAACCTGTGCCAGTGCTTCACCACCCTCTGAGTGAAAAAAATTTCTTCCCTATATCTAATCTAAATCTGCCCTCTTTCAGTTTAAAGTCATTGGCCCTTCTGCTATCACTCCACGGCCTTGTAAAAAGTCCCTCTCCAGCTTTCCTGTAGGCCCCCTTTAGGTACTGGAAGGCTGCTATAAGGTCTCCCTGGAGCCTTCTCTTCTCCAGGCTGAACACCACCAACTCTCTCAGTCTGTCTTCATAGGAGCATAGGGTGCTCCAGTCCTCAGATCATCTTCGTGGCCCTCCTCTGGACCCACTCCAACAGCTCCATGTTCTTCTCATGTTGGGAATCCCAGAGCTGAATGCAGTACTCCAGGTGGGATCTCACGAGAGCAGAGAAGTGGGGCAGAATCACCTCCCTCAACCTGCTGGCCACACTTCTTTTGATGCAGCCCAGGATACAGTTGGCTTTCTGGGCTGCAAGTGCCCACTGCTGGCTCATGTTGAGCTTCTCATCAGTCAGCACCCCCAAGTCCTTCTCCTCAGGGCTGCTCTCAATTCAGTCTCCGCCCAGCCTGTATTTGTGCCTGGGATTGCCCCAACCCACATGCAGGACCTTGCACTTGGCTGTGTTCTCACAGAAGTTCATGAGGTTCTCACAGGCCCACCTCTCAAGCCTGCCAAGGTCCCTCTGAATGGCATCCCTTCCCTCCAGTGTGTCGACTACACCACACAGCTTGGCGACATCAGCAAACTTGTTGAGGGTGCACTCGATCCTACTGTCCATGTCACCGATAAAGATATTAAAACAGGACGGGCCCCAATACCAGCCCCTGAGGAACATCACTCATCACTGGCTTCCACTTGGACATCGAGCCATTGACCGCAACTCTCTGAGTATGACCATCCAGCCAATTCCTTATCCACCGAGCGATCCATCCATCAAATCCACGTCTCTCCAATTTAGAGACAAGGATGTAATGCGGGACAGTGTCAAATGCTTTGGACAACTCCAGATAGACGACGTCAGTTGCTCTTCCCCTATCCACCAATGTGACGTCAGTTGCTCTTCCCCTATCCACCAATGCTCTAACCCCATCACGGAAGGCCACCAAATTTGTCAGGTAGGATTTGCCTCTAGTGAAGCCATGTTAGCTGTCATCAATCACCTCCTTATTTTCCATGTGTCTTAGCATAGTTGCTAGGAGGATCTGCTCCATGATCCTGCTGGGCACAGAGTTAAGACTGACTGGCCCGTAGTTCCCCGGGTCTTCCTTTTTTCCCCTTTTAAAAATGAGGGCTATGTTTCCCCTTTTCCAGTTGGTGGGAACTTCACCGGACTGCCATGACTTCTCAAATATGATGGATAGCGGCTTAGTAACTTCATCCGCCAGTTCCCTCGGGACCTGCAGATGCACCTCATCAGGTCCCGTAGATTTGTGCACCTTCAGGTTCCTTAGATGGTCTCAAACCTGATCTTCTCCTACAGTGGGCGGCTCTTCATTCTCCCATGTCTTTGCCTTCTGCGACTTGAGCAGTGTGACTAGAGCTCATGCCAGTGAAGACTGCAGGAAAAAGTCATTGAGTACCTCAGCCTTCTCTGTATCCCAAGTAACCAGGTCTCCCGTTTCCTTCTGGAGAGGGCCCATGTTTTCCCTGGTTCTCTTTTTATCACTGACATACCTATTGAAGCTTTTCTTGCTGGCCTTGATGTCCCTGGCCAGATTTAATTCTAGCAGGGCTTTAGCTTTCCTAACTTGATCTCTGGTTGCTCAGACACTTTCTCTATATTCTTTACAGGCTACTTGTCCTTGCTTCCACTCTCTGCAGGCTTCCTTTTTGTGTCCGAGTTGGTCCAGGAGCTCCTTGTTCATCCATGCAGGCCTCGTGGTGTTCCTGCCTGACTTCCTCTTTGTTGCGATGCACTGCTCCTGAGCCTAGAGGAAGTGATCTTTGAATATTAGCCAGCTTGCTTGGGCTGCTCTTCCCTCTAGGACTTCATCCCATCATACTCCACCAAGCAGATCCCTGAAGAGGTCGAAGTCTGATCCAGGGCAGTGAGCTTGCTGAGTGCCCTCCTTGCCTCCCTCAAAATCTT